AGGGGGGGGGGGAGAGGGAGAGAGGGGGAGAAAGAGAGAGAGAGAGAGACATACATGTGAGAGAGACACATCGACTGGTTGCCTCTTGGATGTGCCTGAGGATCTAGCCTACAACCCAGGTACGTGCCCTTGGCCGGAATTGAACCCAGGACCTTTCAGTCCATGGGCCAATGCTCTAACCACTGAGCCAAGCTGGCCAGGGCTACACCTGAGTTTGGGGGCTCTTTGTGTATGCCAGACTCAGGCCTTGCTCGGATATATGGCTCTAGCTCCTTCAAGTCTGCAGCTTCGTCCTCCTCACAGGGTACCTCAGAGAACAAGTCATTTTACTTTACCTTCCCCCCAACAGTAGTGATGGCGAGATGTCTTCTCTCACCACCTACATTCAACACACCACTGGAAGTTCTAGAGAGCTCAGTAAGGCCAGAAAAAGAAATAAGAGGCATACGGATTGGAAAGAAAGAGATAAATCTATCCCTGTTTGTGAATGGAATGATTGCCTATGTAGAAAATTCCAAGGAATCTAAGAACAAAACAGAACAAAAAAACCTCTAGAACGGAGTTCAAAAGATCACAGGATATAAAATCTACACACAAGAATCAGTTGCACTTCTACATAATAACAATGAATGTATGGAAACTGATAGTAAAACCACAATACCACTTACAATTACTCCAAAGGAATGAAATAAAATAAGCTTAACAAAGCATGTACAGGCCCTATATGCTGACAATGACAAAACGCTAAGGAAAGAAATCAGTGAAGACCTAAACAAATGGAGACATACAATGTTCATGGATTAAGAGATTCAACATAGTAAAGATGTCAATTATCCCCAAATTTATCTAGATCTAAAACAATTCCTATAAAAATTCCTGTAAGGTTTTCTGTAGACATAGACAAGCTAATTCTGAAATGTATATGGGAAGGCATAGACCCTAAAATCGTTAAAACAATTTTGAAAAAGAATAGAGTGAGAGGAATCACTCTGCCCGATGTAAGGACTTATATATAACTACAGTAATCAAAGTGTGGCACAGGCAAAAGGGCAGACGCAAAGGAAAAGAATACAGAACCAGAAATAGGCCCATACAAACATGTCCAATGATTTCTGACAAAGGTGCAAAAGCAATTCAATGAAGGAAGAATAGCCTTTTCTACAAATGGTGCCACAACAATTGAACATCTGTAGGGCAAAAACAAAAAGAAAGAAAGAAAAGTCAACTGTTAAATACAAAAATTAACCCAAAATGGGTTATGGTCTTAAATGTAAAACATAAACTATAAAACTTTCAGAATACAGAGGAGAAAAATTCTTTGGGACCTAGGCTGATGAGTACTGCGACTTGGGACCAAAACCATGAAATCCTGTGTTTTAAATTTATAATTTGAGATTAAATTGTGGAAATAAATTTGTATTTATTTAACCTCAATTTACTGATGGCAGAAGAAGCTTCAGAGGAGTGTGTTGTCAGGAAAAGACAGAGCTTTCTGAATATAGCTATAGTGATCGACTACATAAGGATGGAAGCGAGTGCAGAGAAATGAAGACCAAAAAAGCTTGTGTTAATTTTATCTGGAATTATGATCCCTCACATATAGAGTTTTATAGGCATTACTCATTGTGAATTGCTAAAAGTACACTTGTGTTATTATTTATTAATTATTGTATTTATTATTATTATTAACCTACTTTTGCTCACCACTGTATGTGACAAAAAAGAGTTAGAGTACTATTTTCTAATGACACCACAGCTTGACGAGTTCAGGAGCTAGTTAATGATGTGGAGTGGTATTATTTTATGAAACAGAAGTAGCAATTATTTACCACTGAAACTTAATGAATGTATAGTTGCTTATATAGGGATTCTTTCAGTGTATGTGTGATTTGAACATGATGAGATATGAAGGAAGAAGTCTTCATTTTTTCAGTTTGATTACTGACAAACACAACTAGTTCTAAGCTAGTTACGAAGTAGGCCCTGGCAGGTTTGGCTCGGTGGTTAGAGTGTTGGCCCTCAGACTGAAGGGTCCTGGGTTCAATTCTGGCCAAGGGCATGCACCTCAATTGCAGGCTCAATCCCTGGCCCCAATCAGGGGGCATGCAGGAGGCAACTAATCCATGTATCTCTCTCACATCGATGTTTCTCTCTCTCTNCTGCAGGAGGCAACCAATCCATGTATCTCTCTCACATCGATGTTTCTCTCTCTCTCTCTCCCCCTTCCACTCTCTCTGAAAAGAAATGGAAAGAATATCCTCAGGTAAGGATTTTAAAAAAAAATGCAAAGTACTACATCATCAACAAATGTTGCTTTGAGTTTAAGTTTTGTGTAGGATTATGCTCCGGTAGCAGAGCTGCAATGACCAGAAAACAGTCTGAGGTAGTGACACAGATTAAGGAATGTTTGCCAGAGGTAAACCAACATACTGTTTCATCAAGGAAGTCTTGATTTTTTTTTTAAAAACACCTGCCAGATGCACTAAACTGTGTGCTCAGTGGTGCAGTAAGAATTTGGATTACTCACTTCATTATGTGATAACCCGGTAACTGACAATTAACGACTGTTACTGCTGCAGATGGTGAGAGGGGACACTCTGTGCAGAATGTCTGAATCCAGAGCAATCTCAGTGTCTCCACAGTTTCAGAGAGTTTTAAGCAGGCTCGATTAAAAATGAAAACAGCTATAGAAATAACAATTAATGAAAAGAGAGAGATGATTACATATTCTCAGATTTTCATATCCTTTAGAGTTATAATGAAAGAGTTATAATTAATCAACTAATCCTAAAATGTCAGCGGTCACACTTGTCTAGCCACACGTGGCTGCCTGCAGCTTGCATGTCAGCCCCCCATGTGAGTTCCACAGCACACACACTGGTCTGTACCTGCGCGGCTTGGCCCACATGCTGGTCCTGCTCTTGGACGGTATAACAGTGCATCAAACTGCCTTGAGGGTTTCTAACTGCTTACTCTCAATTTCTATATTTGTGGCATATAACAAACATCCACAGACTGATGCTGGTCCAAGACCAACTTTGAGTAGCACTGGTGGAATACATTTCTGAAAAGAGTAGAGAGGGGCATCAGTAAGAGTATTTGACAGTTCAAGGCTCTATGGAAAGCCAATAAGGAAACAATAGGTATATTTCCTATTTTTGAAGCACTATATTTCATTAGATCTAAGTGTGCTTGATTAAAAATGCATCATTTTATGTACACTGCCAATTAAACTGACACATGACTTATTATAAAACACATTTAGGGTTTAAAGGAGGTATAGTGTGGAAAAGACAGTTCTCCTTAGGATCATGAAATACAGTATTTACAGTTTTTACAGTTTCTACAAGATATAAAATAAAGATAAATATAAACAAACTAAAAATATGATGAAAAATATATATAAAAAATATATACTAATGCATTTTCTGCTAAAAAGACAAAAGAACATTAGTTACAGGAATAGGTAACATCAGACTCATTTGGCATTTTGAGAACATTTGTCTTCTTTTTTTTGGGCACCCAGTTGATATTCATTCTTTGTAATAAAGCCCTGAGTTTGCTCTGGAAAACCGTTCCTCTCACCTTCTCAACCTTCTGGCTTGGAGGAGCCCTGACTGGCTTAAATTGACCAGCATCTGCCACAATGACTAGTTCAGGGAAGGGGCTCTACTTCAACCAGAAACAGTGAAAAGCTAGGAGATACTGGGCTCAAGATTCTGAAAAGAAGGAAATTGCCCATCCTTCAGGAGTTACTGGGAGAGGCTGTTTCTTACACTTCCACATAATGATGCCTAAGGATGGTGAGGTCCAGGGCCAAGCAGTCATCTGCTGTCACTGTTGGATAAAACTACACAGAGTCTGAGGGAAAAGTGTCCAATGTCTGCTCTGACGATGACCTGCCTGCTGGGGGACTTGCCTCACAGCCCTGCTCTCGCCCCACGGCATCTTCATACTCCTGTGCTTGCTTATGCTCAGAGCCACGTCCCAGCCTGCTGAGCGAATGCACATCTTCCCCACCTCACTTCTGTGCGCAGGAAAATAGTAAGTAACCCCTGTTGGCCGCAGATCTGAAGTCACATTCCCTCATCAATTTAACCAACAGTAAAGGTAACAGATGTTTAATCATTGTATCTATCTCTTAACTGTTTTTGAATTAAGAGGAAAGATTGCTAATGATTGACTCAAACCCAACAGTACTAGTATCCTTATTTTACATATGAGAAAACAGGGTTCGCAGTGGGTGAACAATCTGCAGAGTCATTAAAAGTCTACAGAATGTGGCAAACTGGCCACCATGCCCAGAACCTCTCATTAACTCTGAAGTCTACAGTTTTTCCACCCTGCTCACATGCATGTCCTTCTGTTTATTCGAAACAGGCACACACAACGTTCTCTCACAGGGTGTAAGAGCCGTACCCAAACCTGTGGAGTGGAAGGCAGAAAAGGAAAATGAACCCACAGGCACTGTGGACAGACTAAGCCATTCATTTGCATTTCGTACTTTAATCCTCACAACTACCTCCAGGAACCTGCAGCAGTTAGGTAAGGGGAGGTACCCAAAGCTCACGTCTATTTACTAAGTTGCTCTTGAAGACAAAATATTAGTCTTCAGCTATTAGAAGGTGTTTACTGGCATGGGTTTATCTGTTTAATTCCCACACTTACTGAGAAGTTCTTCTCAATAGCACAGAACACAACGTCCACACAGAGGAAGACCCCGGTCCGGCCCACGCCGGCACTGCAGTGAACAACGATGGGCCCTGTAAGGTGGCTCTTCCTCAAGTAGCGAACAAACTTTATAAAACCGTCTAGTGAGGCAGGAGTGCCATGGTCTGGCCAGCTGGTGAACTGCAGCTGTTTTACAAAGTGACTAGCTCCTGTCTGTTGAGAAAGGGAAAGAGAGGGAAAGGGGATGGGAGAGAGGCAGAGAGAAGGAAGGGGAGAGATATAGAAGACAGATTTATCAACCTCTTATATTAGAGATCTCATTTTAATTTCTAATGTACCAGTAATAATAATAATAATGACTATGTGGTACTATAAGAATAAAAATAAGAATACCAGCAGGGAACATGAACTGACACATTATGTTCCAAGTACTGTGCTGGAAACTTCCCATGCACAGAAGTCCTAGGAGATGGCACTACTTATCCTCATTTCAGAGATAAAGAAGTAAGGGCGAGAGTGGCTGAGAGATGAATGCCAGATCAGAAGGTCTCCTAAATCCAAATCTACTATCTTTCTTCTGCACCATGAGGCTGCAGAAAAAACAAGAATTCAAAAGATGGCCTAACACGTTAGGAATAATATAGACTAGCAATCTATCTTAGCTTAAATATTATGACACTAAATTTGATTGAAACAGGAAGGTGCTATCAAGTTGCTTGGCAATGAGGACAGGGTGGTTAATGACCAGGTGAGTGTCCCCACTCTTGTGCTGAGCCCCTGGAAGTGGAGTCATGAAACTCTCCTCAAGGCTGACCAATAAAGCACGTTGAGTTTACCTGCCATCCCCTCCAAAGGGATGACCCTTTTCCCACTGTGGCGCCCTCATTTCACTCGTGGCGCCCTCGCTTCCCCCAGTGCATTTTTCTTTCCTATGTTCCAAATAGAAAGCTCAAGTTTGAATCACTAGCACATAAAACTCAATGAAGAACATAATCCTTGAAAATCCTCTGAAGGCATGAATCTTAGGGTAACTCTCACACCATCACTATTTCCGGGATGAAATCTCTCCTGCTACTGTTGACCGCTGTGAGTCTGCCAAAGGGTGGGCCTCACCGCTTTCCTGGCTGAGCCCGTGCCATGAAGACAGAACCGCTGGCGCAATTCTCCAAACATGAGCTACGTGGTTCTGAGGCTTGTGGGCCTCAAGCCAAAGGCCACCATCCTGTACCCTCTTGCCAAGACTCCATAAATGGATCCCAGAATTTGAGTCCTTGCAGACAGATCACCCGCCCGTGCCTCCTACCTGGCCTATACTCTCCAAGCATGCTGCCCTTCTGCTGCCATAGCATGTATCCCACGCCATTTGGAACTGGTGTGTTTGGTGTCTTCCTTCCACACTAGTCTGTAAATACTCTAAGACTTGAGACTGTGTCGCTTTTATCTCTATCATCTGACATACTAGCTGGATAAAAGGAAGGAATCAACAGGTTTAGGGGAAGGAGGATCAGGTGAATCCCCAGGTATACAGAACAAGCGCAGTGCCTAGCACACAGCCAGCAAGCTCTGCATCTGCATCAGCTGTTGTTCTTGACGTCCCTGCTCCTCACTCTGGGCTGACCTTCCTCCGACGCCACAAGTCTATCTTTTCCCATCCCTCCCTGCTCCTCTCTCTCTCAACTTCTCCCTTTGCACTCAGGTCCCCGTCCCGCAGTAATCTCTTGGAAACCCTCATCACATCTCTAAATGTTTCTTCCATGTCCCTGCCTTGCCTCCCACAGGCACTTGACTCTCTGCTGAGCTCTCCAGTCAAGGCCACCTGCTCTGCTGTGCCCCAGGTACCACCGAGCACAGAGAGTAGGTTACAGGCTGCTTGCTGCCCACTCCTGTTTCCAATTCACTATTCCTTCTCCTTGAATAAACCCCTCTTCCTCTTGAGTTCCATACTCCTAGCTTCATCTTCTCATTGTTATAACCCAGCGGCCAAGCCTCCTGCTTGATCTCTACATTCGTGAAGATCCTGACCTTCTCCCTACCACAGGATCTACAACATCCAGGGCAAATTCAGGGCCTCAACAGCTCAAGAGACATTCTAACTCACAGCATTTTCATGTCTCTCTTGCAGGGGAGACCACTCCTTTCTCCTAGGCCTCACAATGATGAGCGTTCCTCGGACTTGCCACCACCTGCAATGTCCAGTATCACTTCAACACAACAATGCAACCAAATGGACTCTCCTATGCCTTGTGTCCTCCACTTACTCCTAGTTGACTGGCCCCAGATTCCATTCGTTTCTCTAAATTAAGACTCATGACTAATTATCTGAATCATTCTCTTACAAACTGTCAGCTCCTTTTATCATTTGAATCTTGCCACATGTTACAGACAATATGCCACCCTGGGCCAGTCCCATAACCTGTATTCAGAAAGCCATAGTTAGGCTGTGGAGAAGAAATAATCACATAGTTGGGTATTATAGTGCAATTGCAAATTTATAGGTTCCAACCTCAGTGCCTCTAGCAACCCTTTTCGTGGTCATTGTGCTCCAATCAGCTTCTTTAATGACTCCAAACCTCATCCCTTTTTCAAGCTTCCTTTTAACTCCCATCCTCTTTGCTCCTGTGGAACACACGTATTGCCTACCCACTAATCAAATCCACTTAGAGAAATGTACTCATCACTTCCTCCTATAAATCACTGCTTCTCTATTTTCTGAGTCTATTAGAGCAAGAAATCTGTGAATTATTCCAGCCAACAATTTCCAGTAGAACTTTCTACAATGTCCCAAATGTTCTATGTCTGTGCTGCCCAATATGGTGGCCACTAGTAATATGACTGCTGCAAATGAGAAATAAATTTGTTATTTTATGTAAGTTTAAATAACTTAAATTTAAATTTAAATGGCCACATATGGCTACCATATTGGATAGCATAATTTCTGACCACTCCTCTGTCACTTATAAGTCACAAGTCATAAGTTACATATAAGTCTGCCGATTTTACCTAAAAAACACCAAAGTCTCTACTTTCCATCTCATGCTAACTTCCCTAGATAACCATGGCACCTCCTTACTAAAATTCTTCAATGTCTCTCAATTATCTTCACAATAAAGTTTGTCTCCTTCGCTGAAACCCAAGACATTTCGTCTTCTGGCTTGTCCCTGCTTACTTTCTATAGCCTCATCTCATCTCTCATTACTCCCTGGCATTGCAATTTTACATTCCAGAAATGCTTAACTACTCATATTTCTTTATACATACATACCCCATGCTATTTTATATCTTGATCATCTATACTTCCTCTTTCCATCTACCTCATTTGGGTAATTCCCAATTCAGATGCCACAGCCTACAGAAAATATTCCCCCAAACCCCAAGTAATGCTAAGTATTTCCCTCCCAAGCCCCAAACCCTCCACACAGATCTCGATATTACCACTGAGCACAGTCAATGGAAGCATCAGTGAGCATAGCACACTCTGCACCACTCAGTAGGCAGTGCCTGGCACAGTGACTGGCATACTTAAGGGCTCAATACATAGTTGTCACACTTGGCAGAAGCAGCCCAAGTACATGCCAGGATTAGGCAACAGACAATACTCGCTCTCCCTGCCCCACCTCCCCTTTTCCATTTTTTCCTCTCTCCAGCCAGAGTTCAGTTAATCACAAGTAGATGTGGTGGTGTCTTAGTTTCTGGTGCTGGAAAGAAGTAAAACTAAGTGGTTTTAAAAGTATCCTAGTCTACACCCTATCCTACCCCTAACATCGAGTCCTGACATACATGCTTATATAATGAAATAGGTACCTGACACTGATTTTTTAAAACTTACAGATTTCCTCACAATGTGAAATATTCGAATGATGAAATACTGAAGAATCTGGTAGTTCTCCAGGAAGATACGACAAGTTTTCAGTTCCAAAGGCTTCTTCATAGAAATAGGCCAGTAACGGTGGCATTTGATAACTCCACTTTCTACCTCTCTGGTTATCATGGCAATAACATTGGAGTTATTTTCCAAAATCATTTGCCAAAAGTCATCTGTGGTATCCGGCAGTGGCCCCTGGGTAGCGATGTAGAAGTACTCTTCCCCAGAGTTGCTTATTCTGATGTAACTGGCGTTAATGTAGTCCTTGTTTTTGCCAAGAGGGACACGTGTTGAGTCATCTAGTACAAAACAGAAACAGCTGGTAGGTAAGGAAAAGCAGGAAATGCCATATATCCAAACTTCCTGAAAGCATTTCATCCAGGTAAATCCACTGATCTCTATGACCAACAGAGGGCATAGGAGTTTCTTTTAAAAAGTGTTATTTGAGTTCATAAATTTAAATTCTTCCCTCCCCAAAACCTACTGGCATGAGCTAAGAAACAGACAATTAAGGAAGTTTTTTATTTTATATCAGTTTCTACTAACCAGAGAAGGATGCCATCAGTATCCAGACACTTGAGAGATTTCTGTTATGCAGGCACAGGTAGGATTGGATTAAAGGAGGGACCTACCAGTCTGCAACTGAACACAGCCATGGAGGAGCCCTCTGAGGGAGCAAGTGAACAGCATTCCCTACAAACCTGCAGGCCCAAAGCAGCGGAGCCAGGGAAAACCAACAACAACTGAGAACTGAGGTAGCTGATCAAATACAAATGCGAGGATTAAAAGGATTCTGTCACTGCCACACATGCAAGGCAGCCGTCTGTATGTCGATTCTCAGCCTCCAGCTGGTGAAGCAGCATGCTAATCAGAGATATTAGGGAAACAGATGCTATGAAGGGGATATGCTCCAAGCAACATGGGACTCATCTAACATGAAGTATTACAACAGATAGGAGAGGGGAAAGCAGTTACTTGACTCATTAATAAACTCCACTGGCCCAGGTGCTCCCTCTTCACAGTACTGTGACATCTGGAGCTCTGGCTCTCCCGCTGTTTCCACACGGAGAGAATAAATAACCCCAGCAGAGGAGGGGCCTGCCTGCCAGGTAGCCAAAGCACCAAAAGTCTGTCTCTACTACTCCAAGTCGTGGGGACCACTTATTTAGCAAATAAGCTATAACCAAGATAACTGACAAGGGGCTTACAGTTTCATACAGGACCTTTCTCAAATTCCAACACAGCAAGCATAAACCATCCCTTCTAAATATGAATAAATAGGAAAAACAATCACTAGGTATATAAAAATATACAGTACTTCACGAAAGGAGGCTGTTCTGAGAAATCGCAGCAAATGTCTCCCTTTCTATAAGAGGAAAGAATGCTTTAAAAACTCCTATTTGTATATTATATATAAAGAACTAATATAACAACACCAAGAATACAAACAACCAAATTAAAAATGGGCAAAGGACCTGAATAGAAACTTCTCCAAAGAGGCCAATAGACATATGAAAAAATGCTCAGTGTCGTCAATCATCAGAGATGCAAATTAAAACCACAACGAGGTATCACCTCACACCTGTCAGAATGGCTGCCATCAACAAATCAACAAACTACAAGTGCTGGTGAAGGTGTGGAGAAAGGGGAGCCCTAGTGCACTGCTGGTGGGAATGCAGACTGGTGCAGCCACTATGGAAAACAGTATGAAGTGTCCTCAAAAATTAAAAATGGAGCTGCCTCATGGCCCAGTGATCTCACTTCTGGGAATATATCCCAAGAATCCTGAAACACTAATCGGAAAGAATATATGCACCGCTATGTTCATAGCAGCACTATTTATAATAGCTAAGATCTGGAAACAGCCCAAGAGCCCATCAGTAGATGAATGGATTAAAAAGCTGTGGTACATTTACACAATAGAATACTACTCAGGCTTTAAAAAGAAGGAAATCTTACCTACTGCTATAGCACAGATGTACCTGAAGATTATTATGCTAAGTGAAATAAGCCAGTCAGAGAAAGACAAATACTATAGGATCTCACTTATATGCAGAATCTAATGAACAAAATAAACTGACAAACAAAATAGAAACAGAGTCATGGATACAGGGAACAGACTGACAGTGGCCAGAAGTGACAAGGGTTGGGGGACTGGATGAAAGAAGGTGAAGGAATTAAGCAAACACATGCACGCACACACACACACCCCAGTGCGGTGAGGAAAAAGAAGCAGGGGGATGTGAAGGTGGGCAAAGGGGAGGATGGGCACATGGATGTGGTGTACAAATGATGTTTCATTGAGTCGTACACTTGAAATCTGTACAGTTTTGTGAACCAACGTCAGCCCAATAAATTCAATTAAAAAATAAATTAAAAACTATTTGTATTTTAAATGGAATCCAAGAGAATATTATTTTATCATTTAAAAGGATAATATATCTATGCTTAATGACATAAATATGCTACATTGTTAAATTATAAAGGGAACAATAAGAGCATCATAGTGAGATCTATCATCATCTATATGCACATATCATATATAAACATAAAATAAACAACAAACCTGCCAAGTATTCATGAAAATGCTAGCAGTGGCTATTTTGTTATCTAAATTTTTATAGAAAATATGTACTACTTTATGATAAAAAAGCACTTTTTAATTTTCAAAAGGGAGATTAAAATAATAAAAGCTTGTTTTCAGATAAAAACCACAAATACTCAGGGGGTGATGTCAGCATCATGGTGGAGTGAGAAGACTCCTTTATTTCTCCTCTTAAAATTACAAGTTAGACAATTATAACTCAACAAAGGACCCCCTGCTCAACACACAAAGGTACCCGAGAGGTCTACTCATCAGAATATCTGAAGATAGGTAGATTTGAATGAGCAGGAGAGGTGGGCGGGGGGGTACGGGCTACTGTAGATGCAGTTCAGGGTCCACTGAGGCTGCAGGGAGGGGCAATAGTGGAGGAATCTGGCTGCAGTACTCACACTAGAGCCTGGGACAGAAGCAGTGGTCTCCCCTCTCCTCATTACAGCAGACCCCTCAGTAGAGATGGCTGGGAAGCTGAAAACAAGAGCAGCTCTGACAGCCATTACTGGAAGACAGGTGGAGCCACGCTTTCCTCCTTAGCGTCACCCATCCTGACAGAGCCCAGTAAAGAAAGCTGAGAAGCCACTGCTGGCAGGAAGATGGAGCTGCAGGAGCTGGACCTTGCCTCCCTAGCAGAGCCAGGTAGAAAAAACCGAGATGCCTTAAATAGTACAGTGTGGCTGTGAAATCATGAACTCACCACCACCACCCTACTCATCCTGGCAGAGCTCCATGGAGGCAGAGGAGATGCTTTCTTTTTTTTTAAATATATCTTTATTGATTTCAGAGAGAGGAAGGGAGAGGGAGAGAGAGAGACAGAAACATCAATGATGAGAGAGTCATTGATCGGCTGCAGCCCACAACCCAGGCATACGCCCTGACTGGGAATCGAACTCCAATCTCCTGGATCCTAGGTCGATGCTCAACCACTGAGCCACGCCCAGCTGGGCGAGGAGATGCTTTCTAAAACACAGCCAGGCCAGGAACATTAAAGAAAAGGAGGTAGTGCTGAGCGCTCAAAAAACCAGTTCTCCACCACCCACCATATATCCCCATCAGGGTGTTATTGTCCCTTACCTAGGTGAACTGGTGACACAAGGAACAGCTACCATCCCAGTGGATACACAGCATTTTCCTTAACCAAAGTGAGGCACAAACAGTGCAGGTAAGAGAAAGCAAAACTTGTGCTATAACACCATCTACTGGAAAACGAAAGAAAGTACCCTATATATTAACCTGCTAAATTGTTGAGAGCAAAAGAGTATGTAATAAAGAAGAAAAGAGATCACTACCTCAAATGTCCAGGCACAGAAACAATCGATCAAATACCAGGAACAGGCAAGGTAACATGGAAGCACAGAAAGAAAATTAAAAGTCTCCAGAAACCAAACTCAAAGTTATGGAAGACTGTGACTAAAATGACAGAGTTTAAGACTGCAGTTTTGAAGAAGCTCAGGGAGGTGAAAGAGAGCTCAGAAAAAAGTTCAGTGAGCTCAGGAAGAAAATCAATGAACAAATGCAGTACTTTACCAAAGAGATTGTAAGTTTAAAAGGAAACAAACAGAAATTCTGGAGCTGAAAAATTCAATAAATAAGATGAGGAATGCATTAGAGCATTAGAAACAGCAATCCAAGTGGAAAAGAGGATTAGTGAGCTCAAAGATCTTCCCCTTAACTTTCTAGAAGTAGCTGTAATGGGTCCTCCTGCCTTTGGAAGTTCAAGGAGGCACAGTTTCTAGTTCCAGGACGGACTTTTAAAGAAACAGTGGGACAGAAATATGAAGGACCTTTGAAAGATACTCAGTTTAATGCTGTACGAAGACAACATGGGAAATATTATAAATGGTACTTTCAAATCTTACACACGTTTTTCAGTTACCTCCATCTGTCCTCTCATGGTGATTGCATCCCTGGATGTCTTGATACATTCCTAAAATAACTGTGTCCTCCCCATATAACTCTAGCATTCTAAATAATAATAAACNACGCCCTGACTGGGAATCGAACTCCAATCTCCTGGATCCTAGGTCGATGCTCAACCACTGAGCCACGCCCAGCTGGGCGAGGAGATGCTTTCTAAAACACAGCCAGGCCAGGAACATTAAAGAAAAGGAGGTAGTGCTGAGCGCTCAAAACACCAGTTCTCCACCACCCACCATATATCCCCATCAGGGTGTTATTGTCCCTTACCTAGGTGAACTGGTGACACAAGGAACAGCTACCATCCCAGTGGATACACAGCATTTTCCTTAACCAAAGTGAGGCACAAACAGTGCAGGTAAGAGAAAGCAAAACTTGTGCTATAACACCATCTACTGGAAAACGAAAGAAAGTACCCTATATATTAACCTGCTAAATTGTTGAGAGCAAAAGAGTATGTAATAAAGAAGAAAAGAGATCACTACCTCAAATGTCCAGGCACAGAAACAATCGATCAAATACCAGGAACAGGCAAGGTAACATGGAAGCACAGAAAGAAAATTAAAAGTCTCCAGAAACCAAACTCAAAGTTATGGAAGACTGTGACTAAAATGACAGAGTTTAAGACTGCAGTTTTGAAGAAGCTCAGGGAGGTGAAAGAGAGCTCAGAAAAAAGTTCAGTGAGCTCAGGAAGAAAATCAATGAACAAATGCAGTACTTTACCAAAGAGATTGTAAGTTTAAAAGGAAACAAACAGAAATTCTGGAGCTGAAAAATTCAATA